AGGAGGAGGAAGGATGGCTGGTGATGGGGTGATGGGAGATGGGGTGTTGGGGATGGGGTGCTGGGGATGGGGTATTGGGGATGGGATGTTGGGGATGGGGTGAGCGCTCTCCTCTGCCCCTCGAGGCCAGCTTCAAGGCTCCGGCCACTTCCCTGCCCCCCGGAAGTGCAGGCATCACAGTCACTCAGACACACACATCTGAGGGTGTGGTGGGCGAGGACGCAGGGACAGGGCCTGAGTGGTGAGTGGAACGAAAGAGCAGCTGGGACACCTGGTGGAGCGTTCTTCCCCCTCAGAAAGCCAGGCTGAGGGGACGTGGACGGGAGGCTGAAGGGGTGACGTAGAAAGGATAGGAAGGCCCGAATGATGGGAAGGGCAAGGTGCCTCTCACCTCTTCTATTCCAGGCCTGAGTGTGACTCCTGCTGCAGCTTTTAAACGTGACCGTCTCCTTCTCACGGCTGGTTCTTCCAGGAGGCCTTTCCTGAGCCCTCCCTGGACACTCAACGTCATTCATTCATTCATTCTTCATTCATTCATTCTTCATTCGTCCATCTGTCACCCGGTCAGTCAGACGCTGTGCTAGCTGCTGCCGTTCCAGCAGTCAGTCAAGGGAGGCGTGACAATCGCTCATCCTGCAATGAAACCCACAGCAGCACAAAAAGTAAGTGCAAAACCAAATATCGAAATGATGGCTGTTGTGACTAAAACCACGCAGAATCAGAGGAGACGCCGGCCTCGTCCGGGAATCCTGGGAGGCAGCGTGTCCAGGCCGACCTAGAGATGAGCAGGATTGATCAGCAAAGATGACTCCAGGCCAAGGGGGCAGCGTGGGCTTGAGTCCGGGGGCTCCCCAGAAACGGCGCCAACTGCCCGAGGCCTGACGTTGTGAGGGAGCTGCTAGGAATAATGCGGGAGAGTGTGGCAGGCCGAGCAGAGCGGGCCGAACAGGGCATCGCAGGACGGGGCTTTGTTTTGTTCGGTTGTCCTAAGAGCAAAGGACAGTCAGTGAGAGGTGTTGTGTAAGGGCATGACATGCTCAGACTTATACTTTATATTTTTAATGTTTTCATTGCTTTCAGAGAGGAAGGGAAAGTGAGAGAGAGAGAAACAACAGTGATGAGAGAGAGTCATTGATAGGCTGCCAGGGTTGTGATCAAGCCCACGACCCCGGCACATGCCCTGACCAGGAATTGAACCCTGACCTCCTGGTTCATAGGTTGATGCTCAACTGAGCCACGCTGCCTGGGTCTCACAGGATTTTTTAAAAAACCACAACTTTTTGCTTCCTCCTGAAAGATGGGAATCTGAAAGTCCTTCTCTGTGCTGTGGTTGCCAGAGGAGATCCAGGCAGCTTTCAAATCCAAGGCCTTGGGTGGGTGCGGGCGGAGGGGGGGGTGGAA